CTCCGTCTTCACCTTTATTCCCGCTCCCTTGCTTACCTTCCTCAGTCTTCACTTTTATTCCCGCTCCCTAGCTCACCTTCCTCCGTCTTCACCTTTATTCCCGCTCCCTAGCCTACCTTACTCAGTCTTATTACCTTAGCTCTCGCACGGTGCCATTGCTATCATCGTCAGTTCATATTGCGCACGAGTTGGGCATCTGCGTTGTTGTTCGGTAAAAGAATGTTTACCGTGGTAGAACAAACGAGGTAACACAGGTAGATACATTTTAGCATTAACACATTTGTCATAGTCGTAATGTTTCTGTGTGTTATAATAGTACTAATCAATATTGCATCTGATAACGGCTCCAGGGAGTGAAAAGATGCCTTCTCTATTCTCTCTCACACCTTTGCGAAATGGTACGTGATCTGTTCTCTGGGCTTCTTCGTCGTCTTTAACCGGTCCGATTTCCATCCACTATTCTCAGCCAATGATAGAAGACCGTTAAGTGCTGTTCTGCTGCTGCTTCCAGCCATCGAGCAAAATGACTAGTAGAACTACCGAAAGGAGAATTGGTCGATTCGAGCACGTTCGAAAAGCTCTCCACTTCATAATGCCGATGCATGATGGGCTCTGCTAGCTCGCAAGCGAATGGGTTTATAATGATGGTTCGGAGGTGGTCTCACTTCACTTGATACTTGGTGGCTTCCCCCCCCCCCATTCGAAAATATGAAGCCTCAGAATGGAATCTTCCATTGACGTAATTAATGTCAATTAGGATGCTTTCAGTGTGTTAATCACTATGTGGGGGCAGGGGTGGGGGTGAAACATGTTTAATAAGCTCGTATTTCTGAAAAGCGCACTTATCTTATTATGCAAATTAGGAGTTGGCAGTCACTGCTTGCTGACGTGTGTGGAGAGTTTTTCTGGAACTATCCTATAACGTTCTAAATTTCAGACAGCATCACTTAGGATATATAAATCACACAAGATAATGGTAGCTCTTACCTGTTTTGCCACTATTTTTTCCTAGCACTTTTGCAAGCACACTAAATCGGCCATTTCGACGTACCTCGGTAAATAAATACCCAATGCTAATGGTTGGCAAAGGTTGGAGTTGAGACGAATTCTAGAATTTGTTTTCATTTCATTACGTTTAAAGGGGAAACTGTTGGCCGTATGACCACAGGGATGAGATATTTCGCGCGTACACAGGTCTTCAGCGTCGCAGTTGCAAATGTCATGCAGTCGCCTCAGGAGCAGGTTAATATCAGTAAGATTACGATATTTGTAGTGGATAGCGGTTGTTGTTCATGAGTGTTCGAGGGAAGGGATTATCTTAATGCTTTCTAATGAGCGCTAAGTGTTTTGTTCGTTAATGCTGCGCACACACCAGGAGTCGCTTGATAACCTCAAGAGTGAACACAAAAGTGAGAACGTGCTAAACCCAGAGAAGGTACATGCAGCTATTGCAAATGTGTGCAACTACGATGTGCAAGTTCGCGTGTTCAGTGTGTATGTGTGGATGCGTGTGTGCAAGTGAATGGGTCTATATGTATGCATGCGTTGTTTACAAGTTGTGCCAATAAACTAATAAACTAAAATATGTCAAGAATGTGGAGACATAAACTGCAAAAAAACATTTTCAATGAATTAAAGTTGCCAATAACAATATGTTCAGTTAAAATCGCATTGTATTATTATCTGCGTGAACATGTTTCATTAGTGACTTTTAATTACTGCCTACATGCAGCACCATATGAAGGTGCTACAGAAAGATGATCCGTATGCTAACATGGTAAAGCCTTATATAGCCTAAGCGTTTATTATTATTATTATTATTATTATTATTATTGTTATCATCATTATCATCATTATTATCATTATTGTTCATGTTAATATTGTTGTCATTGTTATTGTTTTGATACGATTACTATGCTATTATTCTATGTAAATGAAGTGTTATTTTTGGCATTAAAACAACACTTTACTGTTTAGGCGCAGTAATATATATAGATACCAGTCACCAGTGTGTTAAAATAAGCACAATGTATTTCTTTTTTAGATATTGTTAATATTTGTGAAAATGCAAATTAATTGTCATTTCGATTTGTGCAATCGTGCGATTGTCATCGTGCATTTGTTTTGTTTGTGTGTCATTTTGCAATTCGTGTCACTTGTTTTCAAAATTCACTTTTTTAGTGGTCACGCTGCAGCAACCGGTGTTTTTCAGCAAAAACCATTCCCAGATAAGAGCATGCACACTTACATTTTCTTCTCGTTTTCCAGTCGAACACGAGTGGAGATCCCGGCAAACTGGTTATTCACAACATAACACAGAAGGATGCTGGCTGGTACACCTGCCTCGTCGGCAACTCGATAGGGATTGTCCATCAGAGTGCGTGGCTCGACGTACTAGAACGTATGTACCTCTTCTATGCCGCAAAGATGTGCCTACATGAGTTGACGCATTTTAAACACTGCTGATCAGCGAGAAACATTAGAGAGTAATGAGGTGCAGAAGCCAAGTGTGTATCAGTAATGATTATAGTAATAAATTCGGTAATAAGTCTAAAAGGGATTCACGGGGATAACGTGCACGTGCAACAATGCAGGTCCCTGCCAGCTACTTGAGAACATTTCCGATCCCTGCAGAGGAAGAATTTCTGCTCAACAAATAGTCATGGTGGCATAACGATCTTTACAATACACTAAACACGCCGCGCGCGTGCGAGCCATGATAAACGCAGCATCCGAGCAACACTGCATTTGTTAACAACAACGCGATAGCCATGAAGAGGCTATCGCGTTGTTGTTAACAGTTGCAGTGTTGCACGCGCAAAACTGCACGTGAAGAGTGCAGTTTTGCGCGTGCAACACTGCAACTGTTAACAACAACGCGATAGCCGTGACGAGTGCAGTTTTGCGCGTGCAACACTGCAACTGTTAACAACAACGCGATAGCCGTGACGAGTGCAGTTTTGCGCGTGCAACACTGCAACTGTTAACAACAACGCGATAGCCGTAAAGCGTGCAGCTTTGCGTGCGCAGCCACAGCGATGTAACGGCTGCTCGGATGTTTTGCAGCCGAGCCACCCGTCGTCGCCGTAGTCAAGCAGGAGAGTCCGCGGATGAAGATCTGGATCAGTGTGATCGCGTGCGGCTGCATTGTGGCACTGTCCTTCCTCTTTGGCATCGTCATGTGTCTGTACCGGCAGCAGCAGCGCAAGGCTGCGGCGGTGATCGCTGTCACTGCCCTCACGGCGAACAACTCGTTCTGCAAGAAGAAAGTCATCCTCGAGAGACAGGTAAGCATGCGCAGGTGAATGAGAGAGAGAGAGAGTGTGTGGTAGAGAGGGGTAAGGGGTGATGGGGAAGGGAGATGGTGAGGGAGAGGGAGTGAAGAAGAGGAGAAGCAGAGTGAGTGGGAGGGAGAGCAAGGCAGAGAGAGAGAGAAGCAGAGAGAGAGAGAGAGAGAGAGAGAGAGAGGGAGGAGAGAGGCAGAGACAGAGAGAGAGAGGGGGGAAAGGCAGAGACAGACAGAGAAAGAGAGGGAGAGAGAGAGAGAGAGAGATTCCACCGCGAGTGCACTTGTTCACGTATTTATGTGTGAGCTTTGTACCTCTACGAGCACAGGCCAGGTGGTGGTCTGATATGAAAGATACATCACTCTGTGCTCAACTCTAAACTATAAACACAACGTGGACAGTTTGAGTACGGACTATATGATGTCTTTTGTTTGTTTGTTCGCTCTTGCTGCCTCAGTACAAAGTGAAGTGGCAACAAGAGGATCCGGTAGGCATTCAACTTGTTTTATCCTCCTCCGTGCCTTCGAATAGTTAAAATTACCTGCAATGATAAAGTTCGTTTTTGTATGCATGATGATTGATCTGTATGTATTGGAATAGCTAGAAGATGTGAACCACAGTCAGTGCATTATAGCCATCCCGTGTCTAAGCGGAGTGTGTTAATTGTGAGTATGAGTGGGTGTCAAGTAGTAAAACTAGTGCACGTGTATGTGGAAATTTGTGTTTAACTATGTTCACTTGGTCGTTGTAGGACTCGAATAGTTCACACAACTCGATGGCCCCACTGGTCAAGATAGAGAGGAATCGTCTGTCGTCGGAACTGACCACGGTCACAGAATATGAGCTGCCTCTAGACCCAGATTGGGAATTCGCACGAGAAAGGTGTGTTACTTATATCGTATATCCCAACATTTTGCTTGGAAATAACTTCCTGAATGTGTGTGAACATGCTTAACGTAAGTCACATGATATAGACAATATGGACATATTGGACTATATGGGAAATGCAGGTATGTTGAGCCCAGACCTCACCGGTTAAAAAATATAAAATTAATGAGCTAAATTAGTTTCACTTATTATATTCATAATTTATTTTAATTTTTCACTTATCTCCATATTATGTCCATTTCTGAGGTGTGCATTTTGCTTTGTTTTCAGCTTGATAATGGGAAAGGCGCTTGGACAGGGAGCGTTTGGACAGGTCGTGAAAGCTGATGCACTTGGAGTGAATGCTGACGATGACGTTACCGTCGTTGCCGTGAAGATGCTGAAAGGTAATGAAACAGGGCATCATTATTCTAGAAACTAGTGCGAAAACAATGCCTTCCTTCTATTCTGCGCCCTATTTTATTCATGCATGTAGAGAAAGCTTTCGATTTTTGATCCCAGAAAAATTGCTAATTATCTGCTCTTCACATTTAGTGGTGGTGCCAAAATAATAATTATAGTAATTTTTCTACTTGCAGAGGACGCCACCGATCGCGAACTTGCCGACCTTGTCTCCGAGATGGAGGTGATGAAGATGATCGGAAAACATACAAATATCATTAACTTGATTGGCTGCTGCACACAGAATGGTGTGTATACATATAGCGTGGTGTGCCACAGCAAATTTGCGCAAGTCTCGGTGAGACTAGGCTGCATTAACGAGAAATGTTATTTCATTTGTATCAAGTTTAGTCTTCATAAACCAGTTTATAAATTCAAGTGAATATCCATTCCAAAATGATTTTAAATCATTGTTTTAAAATCACTACTATTAAGTGTTGGAAATCCTTGTGGGTGCGATCAAGTAATTGTCAATATTTCAATTGGCCAGTCAAACCAATTAAACTATCAATCAATTAATCAATCAATCATTCAATCAATTACATCAATTGATCAATCAATCACTCGGCCAATCAGATAAACTAATCAATCAAATAAATTACCTAATTAACTTATCAATCAATCGATGTGTTCATATTAATCAGTCAATCAAATAAATAAATTCGATCTCAATTCATATTCAACGAATCTGTCGCCTTGGGCGGTGCACAGGTCCGCTGTACGTGATCATGGAGTACTGTTCGTACGGCAACCTGAGAGACTACCTGCGTGATCGGCGCCCCACGTCCGGATACGAGCGACCGATCGGCGAGGATCGCATCAGCGACACACTGCTGCGCAAGGACCTCATCTCGTTCGCGTACCAGGTCGCGCGCGGCATGGAGTATCTCTCCTCAAAGCGGGTACGTACGTGCGCTGAGGCGACTTCCTAGTGGGGTGGGGGCCTCACAACACCGAGCACCACGTATGTGGGATATGCTGTCCCTACTACCTCCATTAGCCACGTTGGCTGCCAAAAGCAGACGGATCTATTCGATATATGTTCAATTGAGTTTTTGGTGCATTTTTCTACTCACTGTTCTGCTCTATAGCTGGAAGAGGCAGTAAGGCAGAGTTTTAGTGGCCTCCGGTGGATTCTGGTTCAGGAGAGTCTAAAGACCAGGAATTAAACCACACAAGAAAACCTTGTATATACCTGATTGCAACGTTCAGACATTTGGCACCTGGACTAGCTATTTGGTGGTGTTTTATTCTCAGCAGAGAGCAAATTGTACTAGCTAAGTGTGTATCTGCGCAATTTGGAAAATGTGTTTGGCTGGTCAGTGGATACAATATGGCTGCCATGTTGAGAAGCCCCCATCACTGCTTCTGGGGGCAGATCCTGAAATTGTGAAAGAGGGTGTTCCTGTGGGATTTGTTCAGGGACCCCCCCCCCAACACACACACACACACATACAGATTTTGTTAGAGAATGCAGTTGAATTGCAGAATCTGATGGATTTCTGCAATATAATATCTTCTATGCTAAAGTAATTTATTCAATTTCAAGTATGTCAAATTCCTGCGACATGCTATGAAAAGCTGTCTGTGGGTACAAAATTAAGGCGGGTCCTTCTTCCCATTTGATGGATCAGCCTTTGTATAGTGATTCTCTATATGAGCATATTATCAATGTATAATCAACGTGAATAAATAACAGCTGCTATCATACGATATTTGATGTTGCCTTCTATACCACTGAATGTGCGCACGGCGTGTTTTTTTGCAATCTTAATCGTAAATTTCTTGTTAGCATATTTTTGTCACTGTGGGGTGTCAGAAATGCTGGCTTAGAATTGGTTCGTCTTCCTGTTGTTTATGTCTAAGCTTGGCGTTAATGACTGACAATTGTTTCTGCTTCAGTGCATACACCGTGATTTGGCAGCAAGAAATGTACTGGTGGCTGATGACAACATCGTGAAAATTGCAGATTTCGGTCTGGCCAGAGACGTCACCAACATCGACTATTACAGGAAAACGACAGACGTAAGTTTAGTTTCACTCCAGTCGCACACGCATATGAAGAAGACACAGCCTCTTTATTGCAAATATTTTTTATATTATTAGATTACGAAAGATTTTAAAGATTTTATCTGTAGAATTCCAAGTTTATTGCAGATAAACAAAATGAGAAGATCACCAAGTTTTAATGACGTAATCACCGCGCATATATACGAACTTGCATGTGTGACTCTGAGCGTGCTTGCTTCAGGGTCGACTGCCTGTGAAGTGGATGGCACCGGAAGCTCTGTTCGACCGCGTGTACACGACACAGAGCGACGTGTGGGCGTACGGCATCCTCCTGTGGGAGATCGTCACTCTCGGAGGTTCGCCGTACCCGTCCGTTCCCGTCGAGAGGCTGTTTCAGCTGCTGAAGCAGGGACACCGGATGGAGAAGCCGCCGAACTGCTCTCTCGAGCTGTACGTACAAGCGCTTGCCGCTGCCGACCGTATCTGCCCTCGCTGCGCACATTTCTGCTCTCTTACCGTTTTTGCGCACGAGGGATGCGGGCAAACTTCCCGGATAAGGATAAGAGATAGTGGTAATGGATGGTGGGGAGCATCAAGAAAAAAACTTGCTAATTGGCAGTCTTCACATTATCTCGGGATAAAATCGCAATGTTGCACGTGTAAACAATGCGAGTCGAATAGCATCGCGTGAGCAGAGGCGTCGGAATTGAAGCGTGGCGGATAAGTTAGCCCTGGCGCTCCTCGATTGTAGACCCTCTCCACGAACTTCAGTATAGTGAATAGGAAGATATTGTCACAGCAGCCATTGATGCGTTTTTATGTGGCAAGCTCATCATAATCTTACTGACCGCGCATGTTTTTTGTTTATATATGTAAATAAATAATAATAACAAAACTTTGTACCCTATGGCCCTAATATGATGATACTATAACGACAAAGAGCTGATTAATCAGATGTAAGTTAGTAAATGGCGCGATGCGCGCGTGACAGAACGCACCGAATGTTTGCGGTTGCGGATGGATAGCAGCTTTAATCGCAGTTCTTTCTCGTCTGCTGCGTGTGCAGGTACATGATCATGCGCGAGTGCTGGCAGACGGAGCCCCACCAGCGGCCAACGTTCCGCGAGCTCGTCGAAGACCTTGAGCGCATTCTCTCGCTGTCGACGACGCAGGTGAGTGAGTGAGCGAGCGAGCGAGTGTGGCTCATGCCGACCGCCTGTCTCTGTCGTCGATGCACGCAGTGCGATCATCACATTCGTGTCTCCGGACATGTGGCTAGACTGCTGACTGACCTATCTGCCTGAGCAAAATCATCATTGCTAGCTCGACCATGCTCGCCCCTGATTTCCATGCGTTTCTCATGCGCGCGCGGTAAAATGTCGACTTTGCAGCGCTTTGTTGCTAAGAACTGTTTTTTTAGAACCTCCTGTCGAAACATTGATTGGCAAGAACTATACCTGCGAGTCGTGCCAGGCAGATTGGTTGGTTGTCACACAGGAAGAAAGCTAGCTGTTATGTTCTGTGGAGCGATTCTCGGTGGTCATCACCTTTCATTGCATGCCATGCTGCTTTAGAGTAAATGTGTACTTTTCTTTTTTTCTCGTGGCATTGTCTTAATATAAGTACTTGTTTGTGTGCGTATGTGGTGACGTACGCATGCAGTGGTGAAGCGTTCTGGGCCGGGCCTGCGCATAAGCCTATTTCACATTTTGATTGTGCTTGCTAATAACAACCCTGGTTAAATGCCAGGTCATAGTAGATGGCTACCAAGCCAAAGTGTAACACAGGGTAATAACATAAACGCTCGGCTGTTGACTGTAGAAAGAAACATGTTTTTAACTTTCCATTCTTAAATTTAAACTTGTCGAATGGCCACTTTTATATCATAGTCAAACAAACACTTTGAAGGTCAAGCATCAATCATGACCCTACTTACGCACGAAGAGTCGTTGTCGTATAATGGCGTATAATATGTACCCGAGGTAACTATCTGATATGGTTAGGGTTAGGGGGTTAGGGTTAGGGAGTAGGCGTAGGCGACATACTCGCCGACACCTCGGGTACTACATATACGACAACGACCCCTTCAGCCCTACTGACAGCTGCATGCTTGGTAGGCAAAACGTCCCAGTAATCATTGTGCCTTTCGATTAGGCAAAAAAATTGGCATGCAGCAATGTGCTTTCTCGGCTCGTGTAGCTTGTATTTGCATGAAGTCGGCTGTTGTGTCAGTGTCGACCCCACTGTGTCAGATTGCGTCTAGATATGCATGCATGCTTTTTGTTGCAGGAGTACCTTGACCTAAGTTCACCACCCGTTAGCCAGTCAGAGTCAGACGGTCAGCTGTCCTCATTGAGCAGTGTGGAATCAACTGTATAGCTCTGGTACAGTGGATCTTTATATACCCATGCAAAACACTAGTGTGAACGATGCACGCTCGCATCTGCACCTGAGTGTAAACGATGAGCAAACGTTCTCATGCTACACCCATGCAATCTATTCTACCTGCAGGCGTGACCTTTACAATGAACAATGCTTCCTGTTTTGTGGAAGGAAGATGTGTTAGCAGCTGCATTTTTTGTCAGAGACACATGCCGATTTCATAAATACCTGCGCAAAGGCTATATGGCGCCTCACGAACGATGCAAATTCAAAAGGAGTTCTTCCAATGTAAAACGTTGTGTTCATCTCTTTATGTCGGAGCAGACAAGATTTAGCCACAATGATATAGATAGGTGTCCAATATCTCCTTGCTTATCTCGTGTCACCTTGCTATTAAGTTTCTAATCTGTTGCATGACACAAAGCATCAGCATTCCTTTTATTGTTTTCTGCTTTTTTATATTCCTAATTTCTATTTGCTTTTCGTGTCTTAACGTATACTACGGTGCATAATTCACAGAGGTGTTTGATAATTGCAAATGCTTTCTATATTTTTATTTGTATGTTTGTGTCTTATCGAAATTACTGTAGAGGATTGTGGATGAGGTTTGTCTAGTTGCTTGCTGAAATTCTTGCCGTACACATGTAGATATTGGGCAGGTCACGTTGAATGCCAATCAAAGCTATAAAACGGTAGAGAACTCCCTGTAAAGGTCTTCATGCTGAATTTCATTCTCACAGCTAGGAAAGACAGCAAGATCTGTATTTGAGCAATGAACTGAAGTGGTACAACTAATAAATCTTTGATATGATTAGAGGTTAGCTTGAGCAAAGTTTGCAATGCAAGAGAATCTTGCACAGTGCAGGATAGTAAACAAAATTGTTCTTTTTATGCTGCAGAGCTATGTAGACCTTCATGTGTGACCTTCACCTATGACCTTCATGTTGACCGTCACCTGTGACCTTCACGTGGGACCTTTGCATGTGACACTCACGCGTGACCTCTATGTGTGACCTTCACCTATGACCCTTGTGTGGGACCTTCACGCTCCAGACGGGCCATGATGGGAACGCGTGGGTAGGCTCTGCTGGCTGAAGCCTCATCGATAGGGCACAGCGCTGCCGGCTGGATGCTGTGTGCATGAGTGCGCCACCAATGGAAAACACGTCTGCAAGCAGAAATCTACCTAAAGCTGTTGATCGGCTGTCGTGTTCTCACGGACTTGCTGCGCGCCAGTAAGAGTCGTCTATTTATTATACTTAATCAGTGCTGTGATCACGTGGGAAAGACTGTTCCCGACTACAGACAGAATGCGGTGCCACGTCCATATCTCGTCAAGCACTGACCCAGCCCATCACGCGGTGGCACTTGCTATATCAGCATTGTGACGAGCACACAGTTTAAAAGCACAGGTAGAATGAGGAGAGGAATACGGAGGGAGAGGAGGCCTTCGTTTTGCCGCAAAGTAAGGCCACTGCTGTTTTGACAGGCCCACCGATGTTGCAACTAAAAGGGTGCCAGCTACAACCCTTGATTTAAGCTTTTACTTTCATGTATATCGGAGGCTCAGTATTATCAGCGATAGCATGGAGGTGCATGCAAAGTGACAGCTGTTTATTCTGTTATAAAGTGGGGGAAGTAAGTGTCTAAGTTATCCTACTTTTTAATTGCGTATTATCTGACTGCCAAAGCGTACAGATGTTCAAGCACTGGTTGTTAGGTTGTTTTATTTTCACATGTATCTGTGTATGTATATATATATAATATATATATATATATATATATATATATATATATATATTATATATATGTTGTATATCTTGTCTTGGGGTCATCATCAGAGTATTAAGCCTGGATTCTAAAACAGAACCGATTGTTAATCGAATGACTTAAAATTCGGCCGAGATATCTCTCCTGGTCAACGATATCGACAAGATAGTGGCCATTCTTTCATATACCCTATTGCTATAAATTCTGTGATTCTGTGACTGCGTAATAATGCCAAAACACTGTGTCACAGTGTTTTGGCATTATTACGCAGCCACAGAATTTTGCAAGTTTTCAGCAAAGTTTGCACAGTTAACTAGCAAGAGTGCTGTCATACGTAGCAATTGTATTGCTAATATAGCGTAGAAGTCCTATAAATGCGGTATAAGAAACATGTCCATTCTCTTGTCGACTGAAAACTTGCCAAAGATAAGCATTCTGGCTGATTTAGATCTCTGGACGAAATTATGGCATGGTAAGCTTGTGATACCAACTCCTACTATATAAGCGCATGCTAAGAAATGCACGCGCGTTCGAGACATTTCGGCAAGTATGCATACCGATTGGACATCATGTAAAGAACATATTGGCCGAAAAAAATTGTGTAATAGTAAAACAGCGTATAGGGAGGGATACTTGTGTTAGTTTTTATGGACCCAGTTCGTTGACTCTTTAGCTATTGCCCGTGCGACAGCTTGTGGAGGACAAATGCGACCAAGGCAGGAGGATGTGTTTTGTACACAAGGTTGTCACGTGATGGAGCCACTGATCGTATGTCGGCTGCTGGCCATCATACTGATGGCTGTATGGGCGGTTGACTAACTGAGTGATGCTGTTCCTGAAAAGCGAATCGGCGGCATTTAAGTGTACTGTCTTTTCTCTATTTTAGTATGACATGAATGACACGTATGGCTTAATGCAGATGGTTTAGTTGTGTTCCGAATATTGCATTTTGTACCTCATTTCGATGCAGCACACTATTGTTATATTTTGTAAAATATCGGACCGAAACTGTTCAACAAACAGGGTAGTTTCATAGATTATTTTAGCTTCTTTTTTGTAAAGTATTAGATAAGTATAGTTTTATATATATAATTGTACATTAGCTGTTTTCATGTGAATCACCGCCACCCCCGTGTTTTATTTCGTATGTATTCTCTTGTATATATATATATATACCTGCCTGATTTTAGGGCAGAGGGAGCAACTCTCCTGTTGCTGTGAATGTGCTCTTCTATGTCTATAACGCGGGCTGTCGTTTGAAGAAGACACTCTTGTGTGTGGGTGACTTGCGTTCGGAAGAACCAAACCGAGTTTGTACAGTTTCTATGTTCAGAGTTCGCACTGGCGGCATACAGCGGATGTGTGTGCCGGTACTTATTAACGACGTGGGCACGCGCGTCTGTTATCTTATTTAATTATGCAGAAATCGGGTACACAGTGCAGTTGTTCGCGTCAAACGCTATAGACAACCGGCGTTTCCCTTCGTTGTTACTGTTAAATAACCAAAAAAATGCGTCTGGCGGCCGCCAGGCGTGTGGGACCTGCTTCCCGAAACTTTATCGTCTGTGAGAGACGTGTTCATGTCCACTGCGACGCATCGCTGGTAATCATTTTGTTACTTAAATTAATTAATCAATTAGTTAATATGGTAATCGTTTGCATTGCGGTGCGTCAATTGTAAGATTTACGGAAAAAGATGACGAGCTGCCTGTAAATTCCGCTTTGCTTTGTGTTTCGTGTTATAGTAGAAGAGAGATCGAGAGAGATGAATAATAATATAATTTCCATAACTATAATAGCTATTTATTTGAGTTAACTTAACAGCAGTCTTTATTGATAATGAGGGACAAGGGGGGGGGGGGTGCCAGTGCGAGTCCTCCCACTCACAGGCACTTGGGACAGAGTCAGTAAAAACTGAAAATAATATGAACGCACATTCACAAGTATGTGCGTTCATATTATTCTCAGTTTTTACTGACTCTGTCCCAAGTGCCTGTGGTTGTACAGCGGTTGGCAACGACTCTTCAACACTATAGTGACTACACGGAGACTAACTTGATTGTGCTTTCTTGGACGGCTACCTCCGAATGAGGGGGTGTGATACCTTAGATTAGCTTGTGCCTTCCGTAGTTTGACAGTTCAATTCAGGCAACTTAATTCGGGTGCAGTTCGTTGAATGAAACGTGTTGATTGCACGTACTGTGCTGACTGGTTTTGCCGCGTATATATGTCGTGCCACTTACGAAATTGTTGTGAGGCATAGTTAATGTTAGCTATATACCCCCAATACACAACTTGTGTTGCTGCTTGGTATAGCAGCCACAGTGAAATATTATATATTTCGATAGCTTCTAAACGCGTGAGACGCGTGCTCAAAAGTACATATGTCTATTCGACTGTATAGGCCTACCGCTCTACGCAATCGCATCGCGGTAATAGAAATTATATTTTCTAATTTTACCCATATTTTCATTGTCGACAAGCAAATTTTACCATGTAACACGTTCAGGGGCGTTGTTCGCTATGTATACATTTTTCCTGCGGGTTTCTGGTAGAGAAATCGGTGTGTATGGAAACCGATATCGTATTTCGTGGCAAAAATGTTACGCGTCCTCCATTATAGTCACGTGATTTTGTTCAAGATTGCAGCCTAGTTACGACTCCCATGTTTCTGTTTCTGTTGTAGTACGTTGCAGTTCTTTTTCGTCATTTCATTCTTTGTTACATGCAGTTGACGTGTAGATGTCGTAGAAAAAATTCAATAAATTCTGATTTGTTCGAGTTAATTTCTGTTTGGTGGTCTGCATGGTGCTGTTTTATCGGTGTTACGTTACGTGCAATGTGTATATTCTACATAGTCGACCCGGCAAACGTCCCCCCTCCTGTATACGCCCCTGTATAGTTTTTAGGACCAATACGTCACATATTGTGGTTATATGCATTACACAGGACTATGGCCGTAGCTAGCAGGGGGCAGGGGGGGGGCAGTGAAGAATAATGGGATTAGAAAATACTCGCTTAACCGTTAGGGGAGTTTTAGGTATGTAACCTACATGAAAGGACTGGAAATGGCATTTCAGAGCTTCTATATTTCAAAATTTCCTTTGGGGGGGGGGCATGCCCCCAGACCCCCCTAGAAGCGAGCGCCTCGGTCGCTCGTTCATCTTGACCCCCATACATTAATTCCTAGCTACGGCCCTGAGGACAAGAGACGTCGCTTGGGCAAATTCCCGTTCAAAGTTCGTGATCTAACTCAGTAGGATAATGTCGAAGGAATATTTGGCAGTTTAATAAATAAACCATGCACGTACGGTACGATTATTTAATTTCTGAAACGTCATCGTTGCCCTGTTATTTATAACGTTTATTTTTGGGTTATTCACAGATAGTAGTATAATGGCGTGTATGCTAAGTATAGCATGTGTAGCATACTAAGTATAGGCACGTGATCGTATAGGCACAGGTTCGTGAACAGTTAGATACACGTGTGCAAGGCGCGCTTAAATGCCAAATGG